TCAGTGGGATGGGCTAGGCTGCAGCAAGCAGCAGAATGGCAGTGTTTGTGAAGCTGCAGTCTCCAGCAATGCCAGAAGTCCCTTTCCAGTGCTCCTGGGTGCCTGGCTCTGTGTGAGGAGTCAGAGGTGAACTGGCAAGTCTCTTCTCTGCATTGGAGGGATCCCTTTTCACACTGGTGTATTTTAATCCAGGTAAGCAGTTGTGCTGTAAGTATTTTGTGCTGTTCGTTTGCCCAGCAGTGGAGTCTGTTAAGCTGCTCTTTTGGCTTTCGTAATAAATAATAATATTAATAATAAATCTGATTTAAAGCAAACCAATTCAGTCTCCTCTCTTTTTTTTTTTTTTTTTAATTGAAAGAACTGTCACATAGTAATGCATGCACATGTTTTCATCCTGAAAAGTGTCAGCTGTGAAATAACAGATGGTTTGTAGAGTTAATATGTATGTAGGGGAACAGTTTTGATTGCTGTCCTTAGGATTGCCACTGCCAAACCTTGGATGCAAGAGCTCCCAGGGACCATCTCCAGCCATGCTGCAGCTTTGAGTCACTGCAGGTCTGAAGTTGGGTGGTCAAAAAATGCTGCTTGGTTGGCACATTAACTCCTGTTCATGGAGAGCAGCTCTCTTGGCTCCAGTGCTTGCAGTAGCCAATTTTCCCAAAATAGCTGGTTTTTTTTGTGTAAAGATACTGACTAGTCCTGCACATGTGATGCCCATCCCTGCTATGAATTATGGCCAGCACACACGGTTCCTTCTGTGAGGGTGGGCTGGCATGGAGCCATCCTCACTGCTCATGTTTTGGAGCCTTGAATGGGGAGAATCTGCAGGGGAGTCCATGAAAATGGAGCCAGAGCCTTGAGCCCCTGAGGAGATGTTTGTTTGGGGGGTGCAGAGGTTGGACACATAACAATGTTGGTGCTGTTGGGTGTTCAGAGCAGGGTTGTTTTGGTGGCCAAAGTTAGTGCTCCATCCCCACTGCCAGTGGGGATGCAGAAGGGGGACCAGGCAAGTCTCCAGAGCATGCCTATCATGTGTGGCCACAAAATTGTGGGGAGCCCATGGGAACAACCCGGTGGAGGTAATGCTGGAGCCAGAGGGATGATGGAGGAGGCTGCTCAGCAGCTGCCCACTGCCCCCACAGTGCCTGCTCAGCTTTATTGGCTGTAAAGAGATTAAAGGAGCTATTTCATCCCCTGCATGGGATCATCTCTTTCCTCTCATTATCCCCCCAGTGGCTCCTGCTGTCTGTGGTTCCTTTGGGGAGCTGCAGCACATGCTGGTGATGGTGCAGCAGAGCCAAACGGTGCCACCCGTGGTGTCAGTGGCTTTTTTCTGACCATCTGCCACCATGTCAGGCTCTGCTGAGAGCCAAGACCCTGCTGATGGCAGTTGCCTCCTCCTCCTTCTGCAGGTGGTGGTGCAGCTCACAGATGACCTCCTGTCCCAGGCGGTGATGATGGTGGAGGACAGCAGGCCCACACTGGCCATCAACCTGGCTGGAGCCCGGCAGCACTGGCTGGAGGGGATGCTGCGCCACGAGATAGGTCAGTGGGGGGGGAAGGTGGCTTTGGGTGGGGGGCACAGCAGGGGGGATGCTGTGAAATCCTTGGGGGAACGGCCTGGGGCAAGGTGGTACCCACAGGTCCACCTTGGGCATCCTGGGCGGGTTTTGGAAGGGGCTGAGGCCACCTGCATCCCTCTCAGTGTGCAGGGAGGGCATGTTGGGCACCCACCTGTTTACCCATGTCCTGGCCTCCTCCTGGGTACCAGAGCAAGCAGATGCCCCACGGCATCATCATCATCGGCCAAGACTGGAGCTGGCACCCAACCCCAGTGACTCGGGGCAGGGGGGGTGGGAGCTGAGCCTTTTTGGAGGCTGTGGGTGACCACACTCACTCCTGTCCCCCCCTCCCCAGGCACCCACTACATCCGGGGGGTGAACAACACCCGCCAGCCCTGGCACAGCTCCGAGGGCCGCAAGCAGTACAGCCTGAAACCCGCCAACCCCACGGAGGAAGGCTTGGCCAGCCTGCACAGCGTCCTCTTCCGCAAGCAGCCCTTCCTGTGGCGGGCAGCCCTGCTCTACTACACCATCGAGCGGGCCAGCCGCCTCTCCTTCTCCGCCCTCTTCCAGGACCTGGAGCAGTACGTCCAGGACGCCGGTGTCCGGTGGGAGTACTGCGTGCGGGCAAAGCGGGGCCAGACTGACACCTCACAGCCAGGTACCACGAGGGGGGTGCAGAGCCTTTGGGTTTTGGGAGGGGTTCTGTGTATTTTTTGTTAAAGGAAAACCAGCGGGTGGCTGTGTTCTGCTGCTGGGTGGGTTGAGCATCACCGGTCCTGTAGTGGTGGCACAGGCAGCGGCTGGAACACAAAGAGTAAATTTATTTCCATTACCTCACTAACCAGGGGATCCCCAAAGCAGAGGGTACACAAGATCAGAGGATCACTGGCCTGCTGTTCACAGGCTTATCAAGAGTTACTCCCAGGTGCAAGGTCACTTGAGCAATTCTGCTTTTAACCCCTTCCTCCCAACACGTAGCTATGGCAGCCCTCCCTCACATCCCTCCCCATCCCCAGCACCGCTCTCCTCTGGGATTATACTTGTCCTATAGGATTGACTTGCATAAGCTTCTGGGGAAGCAGCAAAGGAGAGGAAAAATGAGAATTCCTGTGGATACATTTGGATTCTTGCACTGCTTTACCATTAAAAAAATTACTTTGGAAGAAGGGTGAGACCATCCCAGTGAGGTTTGGGGAGCTCTTGCTGCACCCAGCTGCCTCCCCAGTGCTCATCCCTTGGCACCCAGCAGTCCTGAGCCCTGGCACACTTGTGGTCCAGTGCTCTCATTCTTTCTATTGCAGTCAGTAAACATTCAGGGAAGTGGTGGGTGGTGGGAAGCCAGGCTCCCTCTCCCAGGCCCCTTCTGCTCTTCCAGGCTGTTTCAGTAAGGACCAGGTCTACCTGGACGGGATTCTCCGCATCCTGCGCCATCGGCAGACCATCGACTTCCCACTGCTGGCTGCACTTGGAAAGGTAATGGCTGGGAGTGAGGGTGGAGCAGGGAGTGGCTCATCCCATAGTCCCATTCCTAAGATCACACAGGCTCTCTCTTGATCCCCTGGCTTCCCAAAACCCAGCCCTTGCCTGGCAGCCCTTCCACTCTTTGCCTTTCCCTGCGCTTATGGGTCTCTGTGGAGCAGGGAAAGGCAGTGCCGGGTAGGATGCAAGGAAGGACAGGACAATCCATAATCCTCTGTGGGAGACTTTCAGGGAAGAGGCTTAACCCAGCAGGTTAAGCTTTGCTGGCCCTCAGCCACAGCAGTCCTGCTGTCACCTGGCCCTGCAGTGACAGAAAATTACCAAAACCACAAATCCCTGCAAATCCCACATCCCCAGCAGCTTTCCCGCTGCCTCACCACAGGCAGGAGGGATATTTGGGCAGTGGGGGGGGGGGGCAGGGGGTGAACCAGGTGGTCTGCAAGGGGGCCAGATGCCCCCTTGGCAACTGCCAGGGTTTGGAATGGAGGGGACTGACCCTGTCTCCCTGCTTCCCATCAGGTCTCCTATGAAGATGTGAATCGGCTGAAGAAATTCGGGGTCCTGGAGAAGGCCCGCATCCCCCATTTCATGCAGGACCTGGAGCGGTACATGAAGCAGCTGGATCACATTGTCACCACCAACGGCCTGAATGAGGAGGAACTGGAGCAGCTGCTGCCTGACTGAGGGGCATCCCCCAAACCAGCACCCCAAGGGTGTAACTGGTGCCATTTATTGGGTATTTACTGGGGCTGGAGGAGAGGGCAGAGCCCGAGCCGGGCGCCCGGGCAGCCGCTGTGCATGTACCGCTGTGTAGGGTAGCGCGGCCGAGGGCCGGTGTGGTTAGTGTTGATGTGTCCCCCCCAACATCGTCCCTGTGTATTTTGGGGACGGCTGTGCAGCTCCATGTGGCTTTGGGGAGCTGGAGAAGAGTGTTCAGGGGGAGGGAGGGCAGAGCTGGGGTGATGTGCTGGTCCCCGAGTGCAGAAGGCTGTGCTGGGGGAGTTGCAATGGGGGGGTTTCCGTAGGGTCCTGGGAGTGCTCCCAGCACTGCGGGGGCACCGACATGGGGTCAGCAGCCAGGGCTGGGGGCTCTGGGCTGTGCCTGGCAGGGAGTAAGGGCTGGCCTGCACGCACAGATCTCCCCATGAATGCCTTTGCCGCTCCCTACCCTTTCCCTCACGCCCCCCACCAGCAGGAGGAAGGACTTTAATCCCCCAAATACCAATCTCTGCCCAGCTCTGCACCCCAACTATAGCCACCCTGGCTTTGAGGACTCAGGGTGGGGACTGGGCTTGATGTTAGTCAAAAGCGTGTAATAAAGATGATGTAATGGAAAAGACGTGTGGGCAAAAGGTTGTGGATAGCATCAAAAACCAGGCTGGCACCACTGTGAGCGCCCACTGTGCATCTCACTGGCACAGGCAAAGCTGCGTGGTCTGAGCTGGTGCGTCAGGAGCAGGAAGGGGTCACTGGGGTCTGTAAAACAACATACTGGGCAGGGACAACATCAATAAATCAAAGCAGGCAAACATAAAAACTGCCCTGGTCTCTAACACATGAACTCTGCAGCAGTCATGGCTCCCCTGGGAGAACCCTCCCCAAAAAAATACAAAAAAACCAAACCCACAGCTTCTTGTCTTACATCACACTGAGCTCCCGCAAAGGTAGCACAGGCCAGTCTATGGCTCCAGAGAGCTCAGGCTCAATCCCAAAAGCATAAAGTTTGGCTGCAAGCCCAGTGCCCAGCACCCCCAGCTGCCCCACACTCCTGATCCCACAGGGCACCGCAGTTCCTCCACAGGGTGCAGAGGCTGAGGCAGGCAGGGCAGCACAGACCAAGCCTGGGAAAAAGAGGAAAGCACTTGTCCCTGGGGATTCTGCTTCCCTCTGGTCCGGATCTCCAGGAACACGCTGGCATTTTTCACAGCTCCCCTGCGTGAAGGCACTGCCAGCACGGTCAATTAGACTCTGCTCTTTAATGTACTATTTCCTCCAACATTGCACTCCCCAACCTCGAACGCGATACAGCACTGCTTTAAAAAGGTATTTACACACATCCCAGCATCACCCCCCCACCTTGTCATCCCAAGGAGCAAGGCCTCAGCCGGCACCAAGACCCAACCAAGGGAAGTCTCTTGCGGCCTTTCGAGCGGAATGGCAGCAGTGGCAGAGGGGCGAGAGCTACTGCGGTGGTTTCGGATTGGTTTCGGTCGCATCCCTGATGAAACAACAGCGTGGAGATGAGAGATCACGTTATCTATCCCCAGGCCAGGGCTAGAAACGCTTCATCTGCCGGCGTTCTTGTCGGCGCTGCTTCTTCTCGTTGGGCTCCTGGGCGGTGGGTGAAGCCTCTGCTGTGAGCCAGGGCCCCAGGATGTTCACCCAGAGGAGGTAGAGCGCGCGCCCCGGAGCCTGCAAAACACACGTGGCACAAACTCGGTCACTCTGGGGACAGCGCCAGCTGGTCCTACTGAGGGAGACAAAGGAGCTGGAGTATCCCCACAGGCTGGATCAGAGGCACCTCAGGATGCAGGGAAATCAGAGGCGGTGGTGGGCAGCCAAAATAAACGGCCTGATTTCATTTCATTTCGTTTAGGAACTCGCATACGTATACAGCTCTTAGGCTTCATATATGGAAATCCCAGCATCGGGTCTGAATTACCCAGAGGGATCCAACTGCCCAGACATTCCGTCTCTCCTTCCTCCAGAAAACAGACTCACATTGCTCTGAATTTAAAAAAAGAAAAAAAAAAGCGATCCAGATGGTCTCCAGGGGACAACCAAGTCTAGGCTGCCCTCTGCCAGGCCAGCTAGAGAGGAATTTGTGGGTGAGGACTGAAATGAGATCAAGGACTGAAATGGGGTAACTTTTCATTCTCCCACAATTGCCTTCTGTACCTTTGTGTAATATCCTCAAAGCAACTGTGGGATTTTTTAACCAATTGGAGATTTTTTGTCCTTCTGCACAAGCAGCTTTAGCTGGAGGCACATGACAAATGTTTCAGGAGTAGAAAGAGTTTGGTCTGTTAAGGGGAAATCAATGCCTGCAGCATTTTATCTACCAATAGGCACAGTGTCCAGCCTTGGTCCATGCTGAATGACTGAGAAAGCCAAACAAAAGGAAACACTGTTTGTTACAGTCACAGAAAGGCTCTGTGCTCAAAGACAGCTTTGATCTGCCTCGTGTTTCTTATTGCCCTTTCACAGGACCAGAGGGAAAGGCAAAGGCCAGCCTAGTTTTTGTGTGGTTGACCCAGAGGGATCAGGACTTCTTTGCCATGTACGGTCTCATTTTTAACAAGATTTGACAAGGAGATTAAAAAACATATCAGAAAATAGCTTGGGCCTGAAACAGAACACTGAATTGAAATGGATAAATAATGTCCTCAGTCCTGAAGACAGGGAAAGACACGGACAGTGCAGAGCAAGAAGGAAAACAGCAGTGGCTGGGACTTACCAAGAGCCAGAAGTACCAGACGTAGGGTGAGAAGCAGCTCAGCACTTGGACTATAGCTGTCAGCAGGATCACATCCTTGAGGTGCCTGAGGGAAGAAAAGCAAAGCACTGAGTTTCCATTCCAGCCCACGCCAGCTCCTCTGCCAACCCAGCCTGTCTGCACCACCTCCAGGGAGCGACCCTGCCCCACCCAACCCAAGGACTGCCCTGCTTTGGCACACACAGTTATCGAGAAGAATCTGAGCGGTAAAAAAGCAAGAAAAAATAATCTGATGGGTTAAAGAGCTGAGCTCCCTCTGAAAAAAAAGGCCATTGAGAAAGCTGAGGAATTGACGGGGGATGGAAACCAGCAACAAAAACGCCACCCAGCCCTACAGCTGAAACAGCAGCCAGCGGCTGCTGATTTGACACCTATCTGGACATAAAGTATAGCTGCTCATGACTGGCTGTGCTGAAGGGAGCCAGGAATCTTCCCCATGCCATTTCACAGGCTGACAGACACACTCAGGGTCACCAAAGGACAAGCACATCAGCAAGCTGAGCTACAGCAACAGACTGGCTCCTCCTCCCCTCTTGTTTATCTGACTCCAGCATCTTCCATGCCAGCCTGAGGCAGAGCTGGGAGCAGCTGTGGAGGGGAACAAGCTACCCACGCCTCAACCACCACCCTCAGGGGATCTGACACCCAGGAGAGGTAAACAGGTATTAGTTTTTCAACACGAGCCTCGGGGAGTGCCATGAAGGGTTAGAAAAACACCAACTCTCACTCTGGTTAAATCATCAGCTGCTGGAGAAAGAATTTCTCCAGTCACATCCAAGACTGGAGACAACAAAACAAAGGCAATGGCAAAGTGCAAAGCAAACTGACCACAAACAACATCGACTCAAGGCACTGCAGAATCCACCACCAACAGCTCTACAACAAGACATGGAGGTTCAGTAACCTCAGGCATCACCAGAGGTCACAGAGGGGTGAGCTCCCACCAAACCCAGCTCTCCCAGAGACCAGCAAGGTGGGCCTTCCTCAACCCCAGAGCAATACAAAGCATCCATTTCAGTTAGAGACAGCACTAGAGAAACACCATCAAAGCCACAGCATTCCAGGAGCACCTCCAAAGGAGCATGCTCAGCTGAGAGGCAGGAAACATCCACTTCTTTCTGAAGTAACCACTAGCTTAGAGTGGTTCCCTGGTCCCAAAAGAGGTAATTTAGAGATACAGGGTAGGGATGGGAACTTCAGCTCTGCAGGTTTTGTTCTTACAGCTCTGCCTCCTCTGTGTTTTGCACAACCTCTGCCTCAGATAAGCATCAATTCATTCTAATGTGTCATAAACCTCAGCCCAATTGCTCAGGCAGAAAAACCTCAGTGCCTCAATACCAAGGGAAGTACATCTGCAACCAGGACTGCAGCAGTGCACTCGTCACCTTTTCAGAGCAGGTAATGGGGTCCCTGTGCTACATCCTGTCAGTCGTTTCCCCTGGCAGCACCATCACACACACATGGGACAGTTATTAGGGCACCCCCTCTGCCTTGCACAACTCCCAGGGGCATGTCTCACAACGACAAACATCAAACTTCTGTATTTTCCCTCCTCAACTGTCCCACGTTTTGTTTCACTACAAAGGTATTAAAAACATTTTGCAATTCCACTCTAGAAAGCCAAACCAGTGGAAAATGGGAGAAAAACACCTGGCTGACCGGCAGGACAATGAAGTCTCTGTAGGATGAAGAGAGGGTAAAGCACCCAGCTCACAGGTCACACTAGAAATAACCCCCTCTCCTCCTCCTGGCCACCTCGTCCCTCAGCCGAGTCTCTTACACCAGACATGAGTCACTCCTGCTGCAGGTACAAAAAGGTGCCACTCCACTAACACACAAGATGTGAGCTCACCCTGTGCACAGACAGCAGGCTCCGTGCCCCCCAAGTCAGTCTGCCTGCTGATAACATCCCCAGCCAAAAATCAAACTTACGTTAGGAAAAGTTAAAACTACACACATCAATATGTGGCCCTGCCAGCACTGAGAACACCTCATGTGACACAGAGGGCTCAGCTGGAAACAAGGCCCCACTGTGCTGCTTCAAAAGCTTGGCAGCAGAGGAAGGATAGAGGTAAACATGGAATGGTAGGCCAAGGACAGGGAGGGAAGGGGCCAAGGACCCCAGTACCTCACTAAGCACATGCTGAAGATCCCCAGCAGAGGCTGGACCAACAGACAGAGGCTGAGGGCAGGGAGGACAGAGAGCAAAGCCTGATGTGTCCACAACTACCTGGCAGTTTTCTGTAACTAGTTTGAGGCTCACTGGTGGAAAAAAAGTAAATCTAGAAGGTATTTCTGCTGTTCCAGTACTGCTGTCTCCTTATTTTATCTAACAGCACTTCTCAGGAATTACTATTACATGTCCCTTGACCAAGGAAAGGCCAGTTACAGCAGCGCCAAGAACACTGGACAAGCAAACACTGTCTGCAGACAGACATGAGGAATGCAGAAGCACGGGGGATAGAAATGGCTGAGGAAGTCACAGGAGCTGGCTGAGACAGAGGGGAGAATTTTCAGTGTGTAGGACAGTTCAAGACACGGCCAGTTTGCAGCCAGCACGTGCCCTTCTGCTCTGCCAAGCACCACCTGCAGTGCTGGTTTAAAAAGAAAATATATATCACTTTGTGCTGCGGCAGCATGCACAGTGTCAGGGCTGTTTCTTCACTGAAAGATGGTCATAAACTGCTCCCACTGAACCCTTTGTGATCTCTTACCTCTGCCCCTCAGCCCTAAGAACAGTGACTGTGCCAGGCTGACACACCCACGTGGCAGCTCCTGACTGGGGCACGCCAAGCCAAGTGTTCAGATAACCAGGGCAGTTAGGGTACACTCTCAGAAAATACGGCTACGGGCTTCCAGCTCCCCTCATGCCCACACCAAGGGCAATCTGGGGCGGGAGCTGAGGCCTGGCCTTCTCCTCGGGGGCCTCTCCTGGCTCTGCGCGCACGCTCAGGCAGCAGGTCCTGCTCACCTGGACTCGTGCGGGTGTGGACACTCACTCTGCCATCCCCTGCTCCATATTCAGGTCAATTCCCCCGTCGGCAAGGCTGCCATCGTCTGTGAAAGACGGCTTTGCCATGGAGTTCATGGACCGGTAGCTGGTGCCGTAGACCACCGAGCTGAAGGCGAACGCGAGCTGCAAGGAGGACACGGCGGTCAGCGGCAAAGGGCACGGCCGGGGGCCCGCGGGCCTCGGAGGAGCCCGGGCCCAGGAGCCCCCGCCGGGGCAGGGGACGGTGCCCGGCGCTCACCCACGTCCAGGCGGAGGCGGCGGGGTAGAAGATGACCAGGTTCACCAGGGCGTAGATGGCCTGCGGAGAGAGCACGGCTCGGCTGTCTGCCCGCCGCCCACCCCGGCCCGGCCCCGCGCCCCGCCGGGGCCCCCCCGGCCGCACTCACGGAGGCCCCCAGGATGATGCGGAGGTAGAAGCGCAGCGTCTCCCGGTTCTCCTCGAAGATCTGCTTCTTGCCCTTGGTGCCCGCCTTCCCCTTGGGCTGCGGAGCCAAGAGAGGCGGTCAGGCGCGTCCCCGGAGCCCGCCCGGCCCCGCTCTCCCGGCCCCCACTCACCGCCATGGCCGCGCCGGCTCCGCGCTCCGCTTCCCGCGGACGTGACGGGCCGGAAGCGGCGGAGCCGCGCCGGGAGCGGCGGCACCGGGGAGGGGAAGGGAGGGGACAGCCCTGTGCCGGGGGGGGACAGCCCTGTGCCGGGAGGGGACACCTCTGTGCCGGGAGGGGACAGCCCTGTGCCGGGAGGGGACACCTCTGTGCCGGGGGGGGACAGCCCTGTGCCGGGGGGGGACAGCCCTGTGCCGGGAGGGGACACCTCTGTGCCGGGAGGGGACAGCCCTGTGCCGGGAGGGGACACCTGTGCTGTGCCGGGAGGGGACACCTCTGTGCCGGGACAGGCCCCTGTGCCGGGAGGGGAGACAGCCCTGTGCCGGGGGGAGACAGGTGCCGGGAGGGGACACTTCTGTGCCGGGGACATCCCACAAAATGACAGGACGGATCAGTTTGGAAGCGACCCCAGTGGGTCATCTGGTCCAACCTCCCTGCTCCAGCAGGGTCACCCCAGAGCAAGTGGCACAAGACTGTGTCCACATGGTTCTTGAGTAGCCCCAGTGAGGGAGGCTCCACACCTTTTCTGGGTGATCTGTTCCAGTGTGCAGTCACTCACACAGTAAAGTTCTTCCTCATGTTCGGGCGGAACTTCCTGGGCATCTGTTTCTGCCCGTTGCCTCTTGTCCTATTACTGGGCACCACCAAGCAGAGCCTGGCTCCATCCTCTGACACTCTCAGATACTGATAGAGGTTCCCCTGTCAGTCGTCTCTTCTTGAGGCTGAACAGGCCCAGCTCCCTCAGCCTTTCCTCGTAAGAGTGATGCTCCAGTCTCTTAATCATATTTGTTGCCATCTGCTGAACCTGCTCCAGGAGCTCCCAGTCTCTCTTGTACTGAAGAGCTGAGACTCCCAATCCCCTCCCCAGGCCTGGGGACATGGGCACATACACAGCCCCACACACACACGCACAGATCCTCAGAGAGTTTCTCCACTTCCCAGCACCAGAGGACCCTGAGGCCTTTCCTCCAGCCCCACTGTGCAGCCACAGGGTTTGGGGTGCTGGTGACAGCCTTCCCCATTTCAGCCCCCCCCTTACAGCCCCTTGACCCACCTGTGCCCATCATCCTCCCAGCTTCTGGCAGGCACAGCTCTGTCCCAGTCTGACTCACTCTGGCCCCTTCTGACCTGCTAGTCTGAGCCCTTCCCCAAATCTTTGGCAAGGACACATCTCCGAGTTCTCCACAGGTGTTTATTGTCCTGTACACAGGAGGCAGAGGCACAGCTGGATCCCCATGACCTGCGGCTGTGGTTGTTACCACAACACCCCTGGGAGAAGCTGCAGGCACGAGGAGGTGCAGGGCACCAGGGTGGGGGCCGTGGGGGCCGGGAGGAGGTAGCTTGTCGTGGTGCAGTAGTGCAGCAGCATGGCTGAAGTGTGCAAGTGCCCGCCCAGGGCGGGGGGAAGGCACCAGGATTGGCAAAACATCACAGTGCTGGGCAGCAAGGGCAGACTGGGGTCTCCTCCTCACCAGGCCCAGCTGACTGGTGCTGGGAAAAGGGGGCTTGTTCCCTAAACACCCCCCTTCCAGGACAGGACTCAGCAAAAACACATTTCAGTGCGGAAGGGACCTGGCAGGCACACCGTGCTCGGGAGATGCTGTCTCCTTGACAAACTTAGTGGAAAGGTGTGTTTTATCCTTTTCCCAACCACCTTCTTGTCCAGAAAGGATCCCCTACACTGATGGCAAAAGTCAGGCAGTGCAGATTTGTACCTTTGTAGTGTTACCCCAGCTCCAGCTATCCCAGGGCTGCCTGTACCTTTATTCCTGCCCACATCCTTGCCCTCTCTGCCCAAAACCTGCCTGTAGTGTGTGTAGGGTCAGTGCCACCACAGAGGGGTTTGGCTGTCTGGGAATTTTGTTTTGCCTGCCCACGGCAGGGGGGCAAAGCAGCTGAGTCACCCCCCTTGAACAAGAGCCTGATACTCAGCAGCTCATTCCCATGTTCTCACAGGAGGGCAGGATGCAGGCAGGAAAGGGTGGGCCACCCAAGCCCCCAGCGAGCACCTGGGCTTGTCCCTTTGGGCCAGAGATGAGAGACAGGGCCTGGAGGAAGGGGTTTGATTTTGAGGGGCATAGGGGGGGAGTACGGGGCACAGGGAGGAACTCACTGCTCTGCATGGCTGAAGTCGTAGCAGAAGTTTAAGTTGCTGGGGGGCTTTGGGATGGGAGGGGGGGTGTCGGGAATGCTGATGTTCTCCAGGTCCAGGAGCCGCAGCTTGAGCTCCATGGACAGCAGGACATCGAGGTCTGTCTGTGTTCGCTCACTCGTCATCTCCTTGCCCAGGAGCACGTTCAGCCCATCCGTCCAGAGGCAGAACTGGGGAAGCGGAGCACGGGCATCTCTGGCACCAGCCCTGGGCAGCCAGAGAGCCCACCTCTCCCCCTGTGTGGTTCCCACTCCCCAGGACTCACTGCCCCGCCTGCAACGGCCACTGTGTGCCTCCTCAGAGGGCCCTTGGACTCACCTCGTACCGGGTGGGGGCAACGAAGTTGAGGCAGTATTCTTCCACGTCATGCACGATGGAGAAGGCCAGCTCCAGGACATCCTGCAGGGACAGCACAGGGTGTAGTCAGCCTCTCAGCTGGACTCTTTCCAACCCCGGCGGAGTTCAGAGCGGGAGCTGCCTCCCAGCCTCCTCCTCTGCACCCCAGGAGACCCAAGAGGTCTCTGTCCATGAAACCACACAACCTGTCACCATTCATCCACCCCCAAAACCCATCCCCAGCCGGGGAGGGGAGTGTGCTGGGCCCCCTGGACAGGGAGGAGTGTGAGGGGCTGACCTTGTTCTGCTTCCCGGAGCTCTTCTCCTTTGTGTGTGGACACTCCTTCCCCACCAGCAGCATCTTCATGTCTGCCACAGGAACTGGGGCAAGTGGAGGAGCTGTGAGCATCTCCTCTCCCCTTCTTCCCTTCCCCTCCCTCTCCTTTTCCTCCAGGTCCCTGGTACTCAGAGCCCGACACAGATGAAATAAGGGGGCTCACAGCCATCCACAACTCAGGGTGGGGGGCTCAAGCCACTCTGCAGTGACCTTTGGGGAGCCAGCCTGCCCCAGCCTGAACTCCCACAGCTCCCAGTCCCACAATACCAGTGGACACTGGGCCAGCTGCACAGCAGCCAGGCAGAGGGGGAATTCCCATCTTAATGCAGTCTCAGCTGGGATTCCCCTCCCTCCTTCCCAACCTCCCTTTCTCTTCATCACCTACTTTTCTCTGTCAAGCTCTCGATGGGGGGAGACTCCACCCCCTCCTCAACGTCCCCATAGTGCAGTACCTTGTGGTTGGGTGACAGGCGGCAGTACCACAGCTTGTCTGCAGCAGAAGAGACATGAGAAATGCTCAGCCTCCCCCCACTGAGGTCCCCTTCCCGGGGGGGACAGAGCTGCCCCCACCATCCACGCTCCCCATTTCTCTCTCTCGCCCCGTGAATTAGCCCACACCAGCTGTCCAGGGAGCTGGGCATGCTACTCCCATAGATTAATTGCAATTTCCCCAGTGGCAGGGGACATGGGGACAAGCCTCTGCCCCCCTCCCAGGACCCCCACCCAGGAGCAGGGGGTTGGCACCCACCCTGCCTGCGGCGGCTGCTGATCTTGCGGAAGAGGGTGCCCTCGCAGAGGTGCAGCAGGCGCTGCTGTCGGATCAGCTCCAGGAGCTCCGGCTTCAGCCTCTCCCGCAGTTCCCTGGGGCGAAAACCAGCAGAAGAGGAGCACAGCCATCTCAACAGGTGCTCACTGACCTCCCCAGCCCCACGGCGTCACCCCCGCAGCCCACTCACAGCACGGGCACAGCCAGCGTCTCCTCCTGGTGCAGCCGCTCCGTCTGCCGCAGCTTCAGGATCTCGCTGTAGTTCAGCGCGTTCACTCTGGTCTTGAACAGCTCCAGGGAGGTGGGCTTGAGGGCCAGGGTCCTGGTGATCTGGTCCCGCACCACCTGCATCACCTGCAGGGCCCAGGTTGTCAACCCCACTCTGGCAACGCTCCCCAGAGCCCCTGAATTTGTGATCCCGTCCAGGGCCGCAGCATCCCCTCGCACCTTGTCAAAGTCCTCCTGGGTCGCACGCATCTCCTTCCAGGTCTTGTTCACCAGCTGGATGCAGATGCAGAAAAGCTCTTCGAAGAAATGATCCTGCCCGAAGAACATAGGGTAAAAGGCCTGAGCCGTCTCCGAGCCTGCGGTGAGAAGGACAGGTGATGCCAGACTCCCCAGTTTTTCCAGGGGATTTCAGTGTCCAGGAGAACCTGGACATTTCCCAGCCCTACCTCCCCCTCCCCTGCTGTTGGCCATGCCAGAGCCTGGTGGCCCCATGGATGCAGCCCCCTGCCCTGGCAGCTCGTCCCCCCAGGCAGCAGGGCAGAGAGAAGGACAAGCTGGGGCACACACGTACACGGCTCTCCGACATGCAGGATCTCACAGAGGATCAGGGTGAGCTGGATGCTGCTTCGAGCGAAGGGACATTCGTGTTTGTCTTCCCGGCTGCTGTTCTCGAGGACAAACTGGAGGAGAGGGCCATACCTCGCATTACACGGGCCATGACCTTGGAAGGCTGCCCCAACAGTGGGGCTCAAATGTCCCACACTCCTCCTGAATTCCTAGTCAAGCTGTCCCCACCCAGGTAAAGCCACCCCTAAAAGGAGTGATTCACTCTCCCCAAAATCCAGCCCCACCCTCCTCCTTCCCCTGTGGCAGTGCATGAGCTGGTCACAGGCACTGCAAGTAGGAGCATGGCCGATGCCCTGCTGGTTTTGCCCAAACTGCCTCAGTTTGCTCAAGGCCTGAAAACCAAGCTGTGGGCAAAACCCCAAAAACTATGGGAACCCTTCAGTGCCACCAGCCTCAAATGGCTTCTCCTACCCATAGGGAGGACTCAGCTCCATCTGAAACAGGGCAACAGTAGGACATTTGCCCAAAAGGGACATCCTTGCCTGGGTTTGGCCAAGGACAGGTCACAGGGAAAGGAAAAACAGGTGGAGATCCAGTAACTCTCCACCAGGGAGCTCCCTGGGAGAGCACACGCACCCTGCTGTAGGCATTGGGGGTGTTCCTGGAGAAATACACCATGTTGTCCAGGGCAAGGAGTCCCGGTGGGGCACGGCGGAGGTCCTCTGCTGGGTTGCTGTTGTTCTAGGAGGACACAAAGGATGCAGTTTAGCAGCTGCAACTTTCTTCTCCGAGCAGCAGCGTCCTCCTGATGCAGCCACAGGGTTTTCCTTGGAGTCCCGGCACATCCACACACTTGCTGTTCCAGATTCCCGAGGGAGCAGAAGGGAGGTACTGCATGGTGGTCCATCAGCATCAACAGGGACACCAGGCTTAGGGGAGCCATCAGAAGGTGCCCCCAAGGCTGCATGGAGGAGCCAGCTTGGGGCTGGGGAGGGGATGCGGGGGGGACGCACCATGAAGCCCAGCTTGCGGAATTCCTTGGCACACAGGGATCGCCGGCGCTCGGTGCTGAAGTTGCCGGCAGGTGCCTCGCTCTCCAACTCAAAGGCAGTTTGGCGCAGGGACTGGAGGAGCTCCCGCTGTTCCTGAGGGAGAGCGGAGAGGAGGGGATGCCCGTGAGCCCCACACGAGCAGGTTCTCCCAGGGCAAACCCACGATGAGATCAAATGTGCTGGGTTCACCCAAATGCGAGCTGCTTCCACAGGTGGAAGAGACCAGGACCAGACTTGTAAGGAGAGCACTCCCAGACCTGTGAGTAGGGATCCATGGAGGTCCTCATGCGATGCTCGCACAGGTTGAGGCTGACAGACTGCAGCACATACAGGTAATGGGCCATCTCGTCCCCCAGTGGCTCAGAGCTGTGGATGATGTTCTACAGGAGATCACACGTAAGAAGGTTCCCCAAGGCTGCTGCTCCCAGTTCTTCCAAGCCCAGAGCCCAAAAGCCTAAGCTCAGTAGGTCCTGCTGCTCAAAGGGGCCTTGGCAAGTGGGAAGCTCCCCTCGGGGTTGGGCAAAAGCTGAGTGCACTGAACTGCAGGCTGATGGGGGTGCAACCCTGGGCACAAGGGTGCCAGCAGAGCAGCAGCCATAGGAGATATCAAGAAAGGGGTGTGGGCACACAGGTAACCCAGCCAGGCACAGTCACCAAAGGCTGGGGCTCAGGGGACAGGGCCTGGGGAGGAAGGACAGAGAATGAAGCACTCATTCATAGCAGACCCTTGCACAGTCCTAGCTCCTCACCTTGTGGATAAACTGCCTGATGTTCTTCTCTCTTAGGTAGTCCATCATGTCCTAGGAAGGGAAAAGGCTGTGAGATGTGCTCAGCACACCACCATTTCCTCCTCCCAAAAAAAGCTGGTGTTCCCACTGTCAACCCGATTCCCTGCTTAGTTTAGCTTTGGGCCACAGGCAAGGTGGGGATAGAAAGGACCTGGCAGTCTCAAGAGTGACACCAGCGAGCAAGAGACCTGCTTCCAGCTTCCACTGCCCTGGAACCAGGACGTGCCCACCCCAATGGGGCTCAAACAGATCCTCCTACCAGGCTGCCAGGATAGGTTGTGTCAGTCAAGAAGAGGCAGAATGAGGACACTGACTTTAAACGTGTCTGGGCATCTCTTGCAGCCCTGCCATCCCAAAGAACACAAACCCCACAGCAGAGGACCCAGATGCCCAAGGTCCCATCACAGGGGAGGCCCCCACCACGACAGCTCAGACGTGCCAGGCACTGGGGCTGGGCCATCACAGCCACTGTGCCACCACCAACTGTGACACTTCTGCCATTTGAGGCAGAACTAGTGACAGTTGAGGGTTCTCAGCAGAGCACCCCGGTGACAGGGGAGCTGTGGGTGCCTGGCTCTGCAAGGCCACCACCCTGCCTGGTGCCCCTCACCCGCCGCTCGGCGTCGGTCGCCGTCAGCAGCAGCGCGATGAGCAGGGCCATGGCCTTCAGCTGCAGCTCGGCATTTGTCCTGCAGGAGGAAGAGGAGGAACACTGTGAGAACCACCAGCTCCGAGGGTGGGGGCGAACGGTGCTCTGGCCTCTCTCCACTTACACCTGCAGGTGGGTGAGAAGACGATCCAACGTCACTTCTTTTTTGACCAGCTCAAAGAGGAGGCGACTGGTAGGCACCATGTTCTCCAGGATAGACAAGGAGAGCTGCTGGATGGATGCATCCACCGCATTCATATTGACAAAACTCATTATCTACGAGAGACAAAACCATCCATTGAGGGCAGGCTGAGCCTGGGGGACAAGGACAACGAGGAATACCAAGAGTACAGGCTGTGGAGGCTGCAGAAGGTGCTTACCTTCTTGATGAAGACTGTACTAAGATTTTCCCAGGAAACAAAATCATGCTCCATCAGCTCTGTGAAGGCTTTCAGAGTGTGAGCCAGCATCTCCCCTGTACTGGAGGGACAGATGAACAAAGGCAGTGAGGAGAAGAAAGGAAAGAGACTGTTGGGTTAGAAATGACTCTCACTTAGTCATCCCAGGAAGTCAGGGCAGGGGAAGTTCAATAGTTGGAAAGCTGCATTACCACAGTACAAAGATCACTGCAGACAAACTACCTCATATCCCTCCTGTGGTTCTAAGAAACATATGCTGTGCTGCCTGGTTTTAGGCTCTGCATTCTCTGTGTGACAGGAGCTCAGAGGAGATGCACCAGCACATCCTGAACAAGTCACACAGGCACTCCTATTTGGCAACTGGGGTTTTCCTGAACTGCCTGAAAATCTCTGGCAGCTAAAACCTCAGGACAGAGGGTTTATTCGGGGTGGCAGGAATGAGCAGCAGCGGAGGCCAAGATGATCACAGGAGGTTTCCTGGAAGCAAAACCCGTGAGGCTACAGATGACCCAGCCAGCAAAGGGATGGGAGGTTCAAGTCTGGGCACATTCACAAGGAGTCAGGACCACATATCCCTGGGGACCTTCCCCTGGCTGCCAGCATGCAGGGACACAGCCACAGTGCAGGCACCAACAAGTCAGGAACACAAAGAGAGTCCACTCCAACACCCAGCTTGGAGCTCATGCAGCATTAACAAGGCAGAAGAAAAGTCAAAGAAGGTCGTGTCCTGATACTCACTCGTTCCCTTCTTCCACAATAGAGTAAATCTGTTTCAAGCCATTCCTGCTGATGAACTCTTGAGCAAAGGTAACATCCTGGGAGAGGCTTGCAAGCTTCTTCAGTGAGTCAGTCTTCACATCCACGTTCTTGCTCTGGATCCCGCTGTACAACCGCTCTGCTTCTTGGTCCTACCAGGAAGGAAAGAATCAAGCCAAAGGGGCTCATCAAAAGACAGTGAAAAGCTTGAAGAAGGCTGGAAGAGCTGAAGTGCAAGTTTTGGAAGGAGTCTCAGGCTAGAGCAGCCCCAGTGAGGCGCTGGACTGAGAGACAGAGCCACCAGAGCAGAGACCAGGAGGAGCTGAGGACGGAGGTCAAGCTGGCATGACACCAAGAACACTTGATGAGTTGGCCCACACGTCTAAAGCATCTCAAGATGATTTAGTTTCTCTTCAAACTCCCCCAAGCTCTGCCGAGGGAAAATGAAGGCTGAGCCATGTCTCCTGCCCATGTTATTTCTGCTGGGTCTGAGGCGCTGGAAGGAGCCACCACGAGCTCAAGTCACCGAGGGAGCCAGTGGCAGAGGGCTCGGAGCCCCGCACTGCCCCACCGCAGGGACACATCCCACCAGAGCACACACCGCAGGAGGAGACGGGGGGGAGGGGGGGCAGAGGGATGTACCGGGGAGGTGGTCAGCCGCAAAATGCTCCCGTTCTTAATCTCCCTGCGGTTCTGTAAGGAGAGAGGCACGGGTGAGCCGGCGAGCTCCGCGCCGGCGGGGCCGGGAGGGGCCGGGGGGGGCTGTCTCACCGACTCGGTGATGTAGGTCTGCCGCCCGTCCGCGTACTGCAGCGCGTAGTGCTCGGCGTTGGGCAGGCTCCACCTGCGGGCACGGGCGGCCGGTCACGGCCCCGGCACGGCCACAGCCGGCGGCCGTCGGGGCTGCCACGACCTGTCCCTGCCCGGCGGCGGGCGCGGTACTCACGCGTCGCAGACGTCCTTGAGCACCGCGGCGAGGGGCTTGGTCTGCGGGGCGAGAGCGCGGCCGTGAGCCGGGGCCGGGAGGTGAGGAGGGGGGCACCGCCGGGAGGGGGTGCGGGAGCGCCGGGCGGTACCTGCTGGAGCTCGATGAGCTGCGGGATGGCTCCCACCATCTGGATGGCGATCTTCACCACGTCCTTGGGCGGCGGCATGGCTCCCGCCGGGGCTCCGCGCCGCCCCACAGTTCCGGGTTGGTGCCGCCGCCGCCCCTCCCGCAGGGCCCGGCCCGGCCGCCGCACCGAGGCCTCTCCGCCACCAGCACCCAGCCCCGAGCAGGCCCGGCCCCCTCACCTGAGCTGACGCGGGTTCGCCGGGACCCACCTCCGCTCCCGCCGCTCCCCCAGGGCACCCCATCCCACACAGGAGGAACATGCTTGGGGCGAGGGCGACAAACTCTGGAAAAGCTGTGTTGTTTTGTTGTTGTTGTTTTTTTTTTTTTTTAATGGTTTTTTTGCCGTTTATTCCCGTCAGAGGAACGCTCTGTACAAATACCGCGGGCGGTTTTTTTTTCCTTTCCTCGCCAAAAAAAAAAAAAAAAAAAAAAAAGAAAAAAGAAAAAAAGAGAGAGAAGTATAAAAATAATCTTTATATATGAATCAAAAAAGTTCATTTGCAACTGTAAAATTTTTTTTTTCCTCTAGGTGTTATCCTTTTCTGGAGGTCGTCTAACTTGGCGGCGAACGTGAACGCTGGGAAGGGAGGGTGAGGGCCAGGCAGTATGCGAAGAGCTGGAGCTACACCAGAGCCAGGGAGCCTTGCTAATACACGTGCAGGACCGAGGGATTCTGGTCAGCTTCCATGTGGAGAGGGGAAGGTTCAGGGACTGGCTGCATGCAGGCTGGAAGTTCACCCTCCCTGAGGGGTCCCACACCTCGGCTGTCTCACCAGCAGCAGCTCCCTGCTGCCAAGTGGAGCGTCCCATTGTTCCTCCCTCGTTCTTCGCGCTCTTCCCGAAGAGGCTGCTGGTGCTTTGGGGCTGCAGCAAGGAACAGTCCTTCCAGAGGAGTCCCACGTACAAAAGGATGGCCCAAGGAGCCACCTCAGGGACGCAGGTCCCAAGCAAATACTCCTCTCACCTCTGCAGGCTCTTCTGACTTTACCTCCCTTAGTGCTGGTGCTGCAGCTGGTTGTGTGGGTCACAGGCAGTGAGCAGCTACGTGGAGAAATTAAACATCAGCTATTTAAGTGGATGGCTGGAAGCTACCTCTCTGCAAGAGCCCACCACGGCCTGGCCTGGCTCTCTCTTCGGCAGTTTGCAGAGCAGGAAAGGCAGGACAGCTGCTACCACCGTGGTGGCAGGAAGATGTGCAAAACTAAAGACACTCAAACACAGGATCTGACCGACACCCAAAGCTGGGACTTGCAAAATACGACATAAATCCATCAGCGCATTTTTACCTCCAACTAAACTGCACGGGGTCCAAGCCTGGTACCAGCTGATGATCCTAAAGAACCCAACAGCAGGCCTTCCATTACAAAGCAAGGAAGAAAATTTCGCGGAAAAACGGTGCAGAGAAAGCATCGCACTGGGTAAAGACCTGCCACAGGATCAGGGATTGGGAGCGTGGGTATGGACACTAGAGGAGCAAATTCAAATATACAGAAAACCTGATCCTGAGAGAAGAAGGGAGGAGAAAAGCTCACTATTTGGACAACACCTACGTAACCTGTCACAGCAAAGTACTACTGAATTGTTACTGCTTGGTCACCTTTCAGACAGTTGCAGGCTCAAGTGCAATGGTTAGAGAATACAGCTATTTGCAAATATGAGCAGGCTCTGATGTCCCTGGAGTACCTTACAGGCACCAGCTGGAGCAGTCTTATCCTTTCAGACATCTCTTCACTCAGGCAAAAACAAAAATTAAAAAACAAACCATACTGGCACCTCTTCTTTAGCCCTGTAGAAACAGCACAGCTGCTGGACAAGGAGCTGGAGCCCTCGGGGTTGTGCATCAGCAGACTGGTGAAAGCAGAACCAGCATTCCTGCTGAAGCACAAGCAGGGAAAGGCTCAGCTCCTGGGTGCTACTAGGAGCACTCAGCTCCTGAGTCCCACTAGGAGGCACAGCTGGCTAAAAAAAGTGCTTTTTCTTGTAAAACGTACTAGCTTGGTCTGAAATCACTGGCAGAAATAGACACTTTGGTGCCATTCCCCCCGCCCCCTGATGCCTTTCAGAAACACAACTACCTCAATCCGAACCACTAACATGGAGAAATCTAACTAATAACCTCTGGGCTTGTGAACTGACCACGGTATTAGGGCTCCTTGTAGCAGCTGGTACCTAGGAGGTACAAAGTGCCTCTGGGAGTGCAGGAAAAACCAAGGCATGCAGATTGGAGGAAGCTCAGAGAGGCACATGGGCAAACTCTACAGGTGAACTGGGAACACTCAAAACATGGAGCCTTTGAGGTGAGGCCCAGGATCCAGTGGAGAGCTGCAGGGGCCAAGCTGCACGTGCACCTTGCACGAGCACCAGAGGAAGAAGCAAGTTATGGGGAGGCTCCCAGCCTGCAAGTCCACATCTCTTGGTTCTGAGTCCATATGAGAGCATCTCTGAATTACTCAGCCATCGAGCTCTAGCACAAAAGGAATCCAAAAATAGACACTTTCCAAAGAGTTACAAAACAGTCTGTGTTTGCAGGGCTCACAGCTGCACTGAGAAGTCAGAGGTTGAGGACAGGCACATCAAAGAGGTCGCAGACGCCTTCGCTCTCATCCAGGTTGTAGATGTAGTCGTGATCTCCAGGTGGAGGGGAGAGGCGGAGCAAGGGAGCAAACACTGGGGAAAGAGAAGCCCAGGGTTGGTTACAAAACTCAGCACTGCCACCCGGAGCCAAGAGCTGCCAAAGGGCACTGAGCTGTGCAGCCACCTCACAGTAACAGTCTGTGAGATTGCTTCAATCAGCCTTGCAGTACTGAAGAGACTCCTGGCTCTCACACCTCTCTCAGGGGCTGTCAGGACAGCGAGAACACAGTCTGTGTCCAGAGCCCAGAAAAGATGAGGGCAAGTCTGCAGTCTCAGGGCTGCCAGCTGGGTAAAGTCACACAGCATGGTCTTCCTCCCGGGAAGGCCACACCGTGGCAGGAGACTCTAAGACTCACCTTCAGATGACATCAGCTCTTCCAGCAGCTCAGAGTTCATACATTCTGGGGAAGAGACAAACATGGTAGCAAAACACTGCTCTCCTGATCTGCTCCTGGGTAGTTCCCCACCTTCCCAAGGTTCTCCCCACCCTTCTTATCCCTTCTCTGGCTAAGGCACAGTGTGTACAGAAGGCAGTGGTGAAAGGAAGCTTGGGCCTAAAATAGAGATAAAAGTAATTCCAACACAAAACACTATGGGAGAGCTCCAGCTCTTGCAGCTTACACTGCACAGCCTTAAAGCAGCTGCCAGTGCCAGGGCAGCATCACTGGGATCACACAGGGATGAGAGGCTGCATGGAGCATGCTGCAAGGACCGTCTCTCTGAGCTCTGTAGTGCTGTTTTTTTCCAGTCCTCAGTTCTGCCTCTGTAGCTGTCGATTCTGTTTTGTCCTTCACTCCTGGATCTTTATCTTCCCACTCCAGACTGGGAAGAATACTCCATAAAGCCACATACATTACCATAGACAGCAAACATCTCCTTTTTAACGGAGTCCACATAGTCACACAGCACGGTTACTTTGGGTAAGCTAGGTCTTCTACATGGCTGGGGCTTTGCAGCAGTTTATGTCTCACACTGTGAACTCAGACTTACTTTTCAGATGTACTTAGACATCATCAAGGCTTCATCCACTACCTGCAGCAGCAGGTGCTGGGCAAGGAGGAAGGATGTTCTCCGGGCTGACTGCGGAGCCCAGGGCTCGCAGCACACAGATTGGAGGCTCACAGGTGTGTGTGTTTGGGCTTGTGGGGTTTTTACACAAAGGCAGCACCTTCACAAAGCATCTGACAGAGCACAAAACTAGGGAGAGCTGTACATCTCCTGTGACCACCACAAAAGTGCCTGTGTGTACTCAGCTCTGCTGAGCCACAGGGGCTACAAAGTATTCCACCAGCACTGAAGGGAAATAAATGTGCTGATAAAAAGAGTTTCCTGGTTTAGCTTTATGTTAGACCAAATTCCTTAACCTTTCCTGCCCGTAGCCCAGCATCTCTCCCAGCATTAGGCAGCAACCCCTAGACATTCCTTGGGCAGAGTGAGAACTCCAAACACATGTAAGAGCATCCTCTCCTACTGCTCCAAAATTACAAGCCCCACCAACACCACTGAGGGGTGTTTCAAAGAAAGAACACTATCTCCCTAGAATATTTGCCTGGATTAGCCTCAGGCAGGCTACAGCTGAAATGAGACTTAACAGGGATTTTTGTTTTCCATAGTACTGACAAGCTGAAGGAGGAGGAGAAGGCTGAGCACAGGCAGAGTAGTGTCAGCATGGGGACAGGAGAGCCCTGTCAGCACATGGCAAGACAAGCTCTAACAGAGGTTGCTGGAAACATGGAGACAGAAAAATACATCCAGAAACCAGTAATTTTAAAAGTGCCTAACTACAAGTAGAGGGCCAGCAGCCAGCAAGGACCACAAGCACCTTACAAAACCACATCCACAAAATAATCCAAAAGGGAGTGAGTCAAACAAACTGTCCCACTTCTGTGGGTAGATGGGCACACAGCAAAGCCGTGGTCAGGGAATGAACATACCTCTCATTGGATCAAACATCTCTGACAGCTCTTTGGGAAGTTCCAGTACTGCAAACACAACAAACCAGATGGTTTGGATCATTACATGAAGAGTCTGAAATGCTTTACAGCAGAATCATCCACAAACCTCCTGCACTCCTTACACACCCAAATCATCCTACGCCATCCAGAAATTCTGCTCCCACACTCCCTGTCAGATAATTTCTGCTGCAATGATAAGCAATAAAACACTTAAGCTCTACTACTTTAAGATAAATTTGTAGGAGCCCAGGGACACGAACATGTTATCACAGCCAGAAGCTCTGCAGTAACTGCCTGTCTGTAAACCTCACACAGTGTCAGCTTCCACACGCTGCCTCGATTCACCTCGTGTAAGAGGATGCTTTTATCTCCCTGGGCCAGCCTGCCATTTCCTGGCATAAAGCTCCAATGGTCCTTTTTTAAAGCCCATTTCACCTCACCAAGCACATCAGGGAGCTCCCCAAATATACACTGCAAGATCACTAAGAACAAAAGATCTAAGGACAGATGAAGCATTCCTGAGTAAAGGAGGAAAACAGAGACAAGAGCTATCCTAATACAGGA